GAACCTCCTTCTAGCAGTACTGTCCTAATACCCAAGGCTCCAACAAATAATTGTCCTGAAGAAAAGACAATAACACTTGCTCCTCCTGTTTCACGAGTTGTGCCACCTCCTAATAGTCAGGATCAAGAAATAAATTCGGTCAGAAGTTTTTTAAAATCATTATAAGGACTTTTTTATTTTGTTGTCATTCATTATAGGATTCTGAAGAGGGTCAGTTATCATACATAAAATCTAGAGCTACAGGATCCTCCACTACTTACCGTAGCTTGGCAGCTGGAAGTAAGTACACTCTTTTTAAGTAGAATGTACCATATTATTACTGATATGTGTAGACAAAAGTGGGGATGAGAAGAAGGGACAATGAAAAAGACAAGATGTGATGAAACTGTATATTTTAAAACGCTGTAGCTGCTTTTTTGCTATTAGTTAATGCTTAGTTAGTGTGTGTAGTTATATAATGCTGCTTTTGTTATTAGATCTATAGTTACAGTAATGCTGCTTTTTGTTATTAATTATAGTGCTGCTTATATTATTAGTTACAATTAATGCTGCTTTGTTATTATTTATAATTAATGCTGCTTTTCATTATTACTTAGTGCTGTTTAGTTATTAGCTGATAATAGCTGTTGCTGTTTCTTAAAAATGGTTCATTCATGTGTAGTACATTGTCCTTATTAGGAAGTAAAAATGCTAGTAGTTATTATAGTATTTCACACACACGTATGTACATGTATTTAATATCTTCTTGCTATGAACTTGAAGTTAGAGCTGGTAGTAAACCTTTTGAATATGTACATGTACAAATGTAAAATGGAGACTGCTTGAAGAGGGAACAAATAAGAGAATCATTCATAGAAATTTGTGACTCCATCATCTAAATAATCTGCTGAAATATTTATATACATACACATAATATTGAATCACAGATTGAATGAGCAGCAATTAAAATTTTGTATGGACTGGACCCATAAAATTAAATCATTTTACTTTTGTGTGCTATTTTTTAGTAATTATATTTTTGCTAATTTTCCAGAAAGCAACCCAGAAGTAAGTCAAACTACATGCAAAAAATGTAATAAAGTTATTGATTTTGAACTAACATGTATATACAAAAATTAAGAATTTTCTTTTAGCCACTTTTGATGAATTACGCTGTACACAGATACTTTGGCCCAATTTTAGAGCAATTTTAAAAGTCATAAAAAATCTAATTTTGATTGGAATCATATCAAATTTAAATCACAGCATAAGAACATGTATAATCAAAAAGAATATAAAAATTGAGAGTCATTTTTGAAAAAATTTGCCCTGCATTAGCAGGATATGATTGTATCTCAAGTAATGCTTGCACATTGTTCATCATTAAAACACAACAGTCAGGTTTGAATCATCATAGAGCAGTATAGTTGTACTCTTCTTTTCTTTTCAATAATTATTATCATAAGATCAGGTGGAGGAGGGAAGTTGAGGTAGAGTGATAAGATAAAAGAGTGATGCATCAGCATGTCTTGAATTTTATGATGCTGTAGCTTCAGCTTTCAAAAAAGAGAAAGGAAGAAGAGAAGTGGAGGAGGACTTCTGTCTAATTCTCTATTACAAGTGGATACAGCTCTAGCAATTAAAACTAGTTAAAATACAAATATTGGTACAACTATTTTGGACTAGTTCATATAACTTTCAATATTATCTAACACAGGAAAAACAATATAGTCTAGTTATCAATAGTGTTTAAAGAACAGTCATAAAGACAAGAAGATGGCCAACAGTGAAGTGGCTGTATTATTTCTTTTATTTGTGATAGTCTCTCTGTCAGTGGATGGAGCTGGTAAAATAATGCTATCATAAGTTCCTGTGCATGATTCTCATTCTTTTAGTCATTACAGTCCCTCCAGTATCAGTGACAGCTCCTCCTTTTACTACAGCAACATTTACTT